GGAGATTGAGCTTAAAGCCTTGCATCTGCTAGGTAGGCACTCTATTGAGATCCCACATACTCCAGTCCTGAGAAAATAGATTTATTTAAAATAGCTAATTCAAATGAAGTGGTTTACTCCTGTAATTCCAGCACCTGACAGTAGGAGGCAGAAGAGTTTGAGTCCAGCTTGGCTACATAGTGGAAACCTTGTTTCAAAAATAAGTAAGAACAATTAGCACAGGACAGAAGCACCTCAGATGTGATATTTCTGTTAGTGTGTTATTGGCCTCAGGTTGAACACTATACTTTTGAACTTTTGCCAGAGGAATAGGTCCATTGGCTTTTGTTTTGTTGAGAATGGTTTTCATGCTTTTTACTTCTTTTTTTAAATATATATTTATTTTATGTATATGATTGACTTGTCTTCATGCACACCAAAGAGAGAATCGGATCCTGTAACAGATGGTTGTGAGCCACCATGTGGGTGCTGGGAATTGAACTCAAGACCTCTGGAAGAGCAGCCAGTGCTCTTAACCTCTGGTCCATCTCTCCAGCCCCCGTGTTTTTCAATTCTTTCGCATTGTATGCATCCAGGTGACCCTGAGATTTGCCTCACTGAGCAGCAAAGTACTGTATTACTGTTCTGCCAGTGACTGGCGCAGAGTACCCACATCCTCATGAGGCAGGTTCCGTTCAGTGTCCAGTCTGGAGCCAAACCAGGCAATTTTCTTCTCTTCCTCAAATTAGGAAACAGCAGGTGGGCTTTGAGAGGTCAAGGTTGTGCCCATTTTAGAACAAAATAAAATATTGCTTTCCCTTTATATAGTAATGTATCCATACTACAAAACTAAGAAAAAAAATAGAAGTTTTAGTTTCTTCACCATAGTATAGCCACACATTCCTAAAATGTTTATTTTTCAACAAAATTGGTAAACTTTTAATTTCAGTATATTTTCATGTGTCAAAAACAAGAATTTTGGGATGGAGAGATGGCTCAGCAGTTAAGAGCACTGGCTATTCTTCCAGAGGACCTGGGTTCAATTCCCAGTACCCACATGGCAGCTCACAACTGTCTTCCAGTTACAGCGGCTCAGACACCATCACACATACATACATGCAAGACAAAACACCAAGGCACACAAAATGAAAATAAATAAATCATTAAAAATTAAAAAATAAAACCAAAACAAGACAGGAATGTGATGGCTTTATTCTATTAAACTCCCAGAAACTGTATAGGTGATTCATGTACATTTAAAAATTTTTTTTTTTAAGCCGGGCAGTGGTGGCGCATGCCTTTAATCCTAGCACTCGGGAGGCAGAAGCAGGCGGATCTCTGTGAGTTCGAGGCCAGCCTGGGCTACCAAGCGAGTTCCAGGAAAGGCACAAAGCTACACAGAGAAACCCTGTCTTGAAAAACAAAACAAAACAAAAAATTTAATCTTTTGTTTTTCAAGACACAGGGTTTTCCTGTGTAGCTCTGGCTGTCCTGAAACTCACTCTGTAGACCACGCTGGCCACAAACTCACAGAGATCCACCTGCCTCTGCCTCCCTAGTGCTGGGATTAAAGGTGTGCACCACCGCCCAGCATCTCTTGATGTTGATTGCAGTAGTAAGGTTCTTTTGTGGATTTGAAGAATGTTGAAATAGAGTCCTTTTGTGTAGTCCTGGCTGGCCTTGAACTTGGGACCATTCTCCAAGTGCTGGGATCACTCCTGGTGGTGGGGTTCATTCGAAGGTATCATTCACACTTTATTCTTTTTTGTTTGTTTGTTTGTTTGTTTTTTTGTTTTTCGAGACAGGGTTTCTCTGTGTAGCTTTGCGCCTTTCCTGGAACTCACTTGGTAGTCCAGGCTGGCCTCGAACTCACAGAGATCCACCTGGCTCTGCCTCCCGAGTGCTGGGATTAAAGGCGTGCGCCACCACCGCCCGGCCACACTTCATTCTTACAGTGTGCTTTGCTATAACACCTTCATTTCCTGCTTTGCTGTACTTGAGTTTACCTTCGTTCATAAGCTCCTCAGTCTGCACACATTGCAGCTGTATCATTTTGTAACAGTTATAATAGCTAATATGTGTTGAATCAAAGCAATTAGCTACATTGCTTTAAATGTTCTACTTCTCATTTAATGCTCACAACAAATCTGTGATGAAGTCCTATCTTCAGCTCCGCTGTACAGATGGAGAAATTAAGGCACAGAGACGAATTGGGCTAATGTCACAAAGCTAGCAGGTGGCGACAATGGAATAAGTAGTCTCACTCCAGACCCTGTGTTTATGACAACTTGGTTGATTTCCTCCTGTGAATCACCAGCCCACTTTCTTTAAATTTGACAACTGCAGTAATGTTTTTGGAGCATAAAGCATAAATGTAATACCCAAACCATATAGTAGCATCCAGATGGACACACCACTGTGCTTACATGTTTTTTCTTTTTTCTTTTCTATCTCCTCCCACCCCCCAACAAAGCGGGGGTCCTCATTTAGCCCAGGCTGGCCTCAAAGTCAGTATGTGGCTGAGGATGACCTTGAACTGCTGTTTTTCCTGTCTCTTCTCTAGTGCTAGGATTATAGGTATTTGTCACTTGAGTAGTGCTAGGGATCAAACCCAGGACTACATGCATGCTAGGTAAGCATTCTACCAACTTAACAACTGAGCTACATCTCCAGCCCTCTTAGTATTTTCTTTGTGTGTGTGTGTTTGTGTGTGTGTTTGTGTGTTTCTGAGATTAAACCCAGGTCCTTTTATATACTGGGCAAGTGCCTATATTTCTCATTGAATTGATTTTCATCATTCCGATTTATGGAATCTTATAGCTTGCTATATTTTTTCTTATAATGATGATAAATCTTGTATCTCACTTGAAATTGTGTATTGATTCCAAATAATGTTGTGTGGTTGATCAGGTAAATACAGTTACAGTTGTTCTCCAGAGTCATTTGGGTTTGAACTCCTCAAAAATTCTTGTAAAATGAAAACTGGCACTACATCACTAGGGAATGTTTGAATCTAAGGCTGCTTTTTGGAAGTCTGTGTCATGGTTGGGCATTAAAGTCAACTCTTAAAGTGAAACCTATGAAGATTTAATGTGACAATATAATGTGCTTGCTACATTGAACATCCATCTACAGTGAGACATATATCAACTGCAGATATGTCCAAGACAGAGTCCTTAACTAAAGGGCATATTTCATCTATCCCATGAGAAGTGGAAGGCTTAATGAACCATTACATCTGAGTTTTCTCGTCACTTATGCTTTTAAATTATCAACATAAAAAATGGATTTTATTATAGAATATTTTGCCTGCATATAAGCCCATCATATGCATGCAGTGCTAGAGGAGGCCAGAAGAGGGCATCAGATCCCCTGGAACTGGAGTTATAGGCTGTTGTAAGCTGCCATGTGGGTGCTGGGAATTGAACCTGGATCCTCTAGAAGAGTAGCCAGTGCTCTTAACTGCTAAGCCATCTTCCTAGCCTCCATAAGCTTTTTCTTCCTAGATCCATCCTTATTATCAATGCCATCATAACTTTGAACTGTATCATATTCCCTGTTATATGTGTCAAAACTCACGGTGAACAAGTTTTGGGTTACAAAAGAGGACTTACTCAACAACAAATACAAGTTCTGCTTTGGAAGTTTTAAGGAAGAATTTAAAATGTGAAAATAAAGTCTTTATTATAGAAGATTCATTGTCATTCATTCACATCTCAAGTCAACTCCTCTTAAATGAGGCGCTTGAATTATAGCAGAAGAAACATCTACAAGGTACCATTACTTTTTGACTGTTAAAACAGGTAAGTATGATGCTTACTTGCCAAAGGATGTTATAGATTATGGCCATTTCTTCATGCTTTTTATTATTTGCTGTATGAGTAAATGGTTGGAGACTTACCTCCTTAGAGATAAGAATGGAGATGAGATGAACTGTAGTGTATACAAGTTGTGTTCCACACAATGGCATTTTTGTCGACAATGGAGATGTACACAGAGGCAGTCCCATTATAATGGAGCCAAAAATTTGTTGTCATTTAGTCAAGTCGTTGTAGCTATCCTTATGTTCCATGACAAAACATGACTCAACATGTCGTGATACTGGTAGAATGAACCTGCTCTGTTGCCAGTCAGTAAAAGTATAGACAGCTAAGCGGGGGGCCAATGGCTGCAGTCTGAGCAACTGGAAGGCTCTCCTAGTATGCTTTCACTGTTGCTTTGATAAACATGGCCAAAGCAATTGAGGAGGCAGGGGTTTACTTCATTGTTACAGCTTACAATCCATCATGAAGAGAAGTCCGGGCCTGGACTCATTTAGGAACCTGAAGACAAGACCTGAAGCAGAGACCATGGAGGAACACAGCTTCCTGGCTTGTTCCCTCTGGCTGGTCAGCTTACTTTATTATACCACCTGCCTGGGTGTGGCATTGACCATAGTGGGCTGGGCTCTCCCACATCAATCAAGAAAATGTCCCATAGACATGCCATAGGCCAATCTGAGAGAGACCTTTTTTTCAATTTAGGTTCCCTATTGCCAGATGCCATTAGCTTCTGTCAAGTTGACAAAAAAATTGGTTAGCAGGGGAGGCTGATGCAGGAGGATTTTTATGAGTTCTAGGGTACTCTGAGTTACAGAATGAGACTATCATATAAAACAGCAACAACAAAAAAAGATATTGTACAGTCTTACATTTAATTATGGATAGTACATAAGACTTGAAAATGATAGTGTGCTACTGGTAGTTTAGTTGCGTACTTTATAATCATTTTATAATGTATTAACTTAAAGTCATTACTGTAAGACTCACTACACTGGCTGCCCCCTCATATACTACTTAAGAGGCCATGTACAATGATAGACTCATGCCTATTAGGTTTGAGTAAGTACACTATAATTTCTGCTTGTGACAAAATGATCTAACAGTACATTTTCTTCTTTTTTTTTCCACCCTCAGACAGGGTCTTATGTAGCTCAGGCTGATTTGAAACTTCCTGTGTAACTGAAGATGGCTTGAGTGAGTGATGCTCCTGCCTCCACCTCCCAGTGCTAGAATTACAGGAGTATACCCACCATGTCCTGTGCTGATCATCTAAATTTCTTACAACTTTCTAAATAAGCTTAGGTTGCCCCAAGGCAGAAACTTACAGTAAACTTAGAACTTGCTTTTCTGTTAAATTTTCATAGAAATGGTAAGAGATCTCATGCAGTTTATAGTTCATACCATGTAAATGCAAAAAAAAAAAAAATCTTTACATTTAGAACTGGTTAAATCTTGATTTAATGTTTAGTCCTAGAATTCTTTTTTTTTTTTTTTCCTTTTTTTTTATCTTCAGATTGTGTATGAGTGTGTTGCCTGCCTGTGTGTCTGCAGCATATATGTGCTGGTTGCCCTCAGAGGTCAGAAGAGGACATCAGATCTTCTGGGACTAGAATTATAGTCAATGGAGAACCACCATGTGGTTGCTAGGAATTGAACTTGGGTCCTCTACAAGATCATTCAGTGCTTTTAACTACTGAGCCATCTATCTCTCCAGCCATGGGGTAGATGTCTTGATGGGGGATTCTAGTAGCTTAAGTTTTTAGGTGAGCTCTTATGGATGTCAGGATTGATTTCATAAATACATAAATTTACTAGTGGAAACACTTATTATAGGCTGTCTTAGATGGTAGTTTCCAGTAAGAAAACAAGTACAGTTGATGGTGGTGGCGCACACCTTTAATCCCAGCACTCGGGGCAGAGGTAGGCGGATCTCTCAGGCCAGCCTGGTCAACACAAGGTGTTCCGGGACAACTAGGGCTACACAGGGAAACCCTGTCTCGAAAGAAAGGAAGAAAACAAGTTCAAAATGAGATAATCACGTGGACAGCATATGAAAGGGATTAAGTGGCCTACTATTCATGTTCATTTTTAAAAACTTTCTGGGTGTGCCCCGCAGTGTGCTTGTGGATGTCAGAGGACAACTCTGCAGTTGGTTCTCTGTCCCCCTTTGTGTGGCTCTGGGCATGGAAGTCAGGTGGCCAGGCCTCTTGAGCAAGCATCTTTACTTGATGAGCCTTCTCATCGACCTGGTGGTTTGACTTTTAAACTTTGAATGAGTAGAGCCCACTTTTGTGTTTCAGCAGCAAGGTAATGTTACTATAATAAAAGCTGGTCAGGATTTTTATTGTTATTTGGGTTTTTGTTGTTAGGGGAGTGACATGATTGTGGAATCATAATATAAAGTGTTTGTATGGGTATTTATGTGTTAAATATTGTGTTATTGTTTACTTATGTGTATGTGTCTGAGGAGGTCAGATGGGTGTCCGATCCCTTGGAGCTGGAGTTACAGGTTATTATGAGCTTCCTGATGTGGATGCTAAAAATCGGACTCAGGTCCTCCTCAAGAACCATACATGTTCTTAACTCCTGAGCCATTTCTTCCGTCTCATATGGAGACTATAAAAAGGGGAGGAATGTGTCCCTCTGCTATGCCAGAAGTGCTTTTGTGAATGTGCTTCCAGCCTCGTTATCACCTATTAGTAAATTAGTGACAATTTTAATGTTACCGGAATACCGCTTGGAGTCAGAGCCTCAAGTGTGAAGGGTTGAGAAAACAAAAACTTGGAAAAAGATTCTGATGTAACAACTTTAGAGAAATGCTTTTCCTGGAGTACCATCCTGTATGGATATCACACCCTGTTTAATGTTCCCTTCCAAGTTAGGCTCCGTTATAAGTGATTCCCTAGCATGCCCGAGAGTCCATTCCCAGTCTAGCATATATAGCATTTGCCAAGCTTTTCCATAGTACCTGCCAGTTTTGTTGGAGTCCTTTAGTTTTGTTTTGAGATGGGGTCTTAGGTAGCCTAGACTGACCTTGTATTTCCAGAAGGAATGAATTTTAAAATACTGCTTTTTGCCACTTGAGAGAAATGAATTGTTGCTTATCACAGAAAACAAGGCCTTAAAAAAGCAAACAAGTAAAGTGAGATCTTTGTACATTCTTTTTGTTTTATTGGCAGGGTCTGGCTATTTAGCCCAGGATAGCCCAGAATTTTCTGTCCTCCTGCCTCTACTTCTCTAGTGCTAAAATTACAAGTGTGCACCACCACATCTGGGATACTTTTTTTTTTAACTTAAATAATTGATTAAAATGAATTGAGAAACCAAGCAATAAGATATTTTTTTTCTGAATCAGATACTGTTCTCCTTTGTTTTTATTTACTTATTTGTTTATTGTGAGCTTTACTAAAATTTTCTTGGAAAAAAAAAACAAAACAAAAAAGGAGAGCTGGGTGCTATGTAACATGTCTTTGGCTGCAGCTTATGAGAAGTTGAGGTGAGGAAATCTCTTGACTTTGGGTTCAGCCTTGGCAACACAGTGAGACTTTGGCCCTGAGAGGATTACACTCAGTTGACCGTGTATGGCAGTGAAGCCTTCACCTGCCGAGCCCTCCTGCTGGCGCAGGTTGTGCCAGTCTTTAAAATCTCTTCTGAAGCCTGTCATACGAATGAGTCTGCTTATCTTAGACTTCCTAATACATACTACATTCTTTCTAGAAGAAAGCTTGTGTGCTGTAGCACAGCAGCTTTAAAGCAGAGGTGTATGGGCTCCTCAGAGATTGTGTGACATTGGTAATGTGTACATTTTCCTCAGGAGGGGATCCACGGCCCTGATAGGCTAAGACTCCCCTGGATAGAAAAAGGGAAAGCAAAGGGTTTAGAATTAGAAGGTTTTTACTTGACAGAGCTTTCTCTTAACAATAGAATGGTGGGGGTGAGGGGTGGGAAATGACACAAATTTCCTATATTTTTTCTTAGTCTTTTTGTTTGTTTGTTTTTAAAGGATTTAGTCAATTGGAAAGTCAGTTTGCCAGATATCAATGTACAGAAACCCAGTTTGATAAATACTAAGATTTTTGCCCAAATGGCTTTGTTTTAGGTACTTTCTACCCCCAAATTTGCAATTGTATGTCAAAAGATACAATTGCAAATTTATGCTTTTGTTTTGTATTGGTTTGATTTTTTTTTCTTTTCTTTTTGAGACAGACCTCTCTATCTCTGGCTGTCTTGGAGCTCTATGTAGACCAGGCTGGCCTAGAACTCACAAGAGATTCTCCAACCACTGTCTCCCAATGTTGGGATTACAAGCATGTTCCAGCTACTGTTAGCATGTTAAGCAAGCACTCTTTCAATTGAGCTACATCCCCAGCCCCCAAATGTTAGAGTGTGTGTGTGTGTGTGTGTGTGTGTGTGTGTGTGTGTGTGTGTGTTGCTTAAGATTGAACCCAAGGCCTTATACATGCTAGGCAAGTATTCCACTGAACCTTTTGAGTTTTTATTAAACTTTATTTTTCGTTGCCTTAGTTAAGAGCCACTAGTAGTAATTATAATAGGAGTTTAAAGGAAATAAATCTATTTTACAGAGACTACTCATTTATCTTAGTCAGAGGTATTTGTTTGGTGGGGTTGTTTGCAGAGACAAGGTCTCCCTGTATACCAGGCTGGCCTTGAACTTGCAGCAGTCTTTCTGCCTTGCATGCTGGGATTATAGATGTGAACTGCCATGCCCAGTTTGAAGTGTTATTTTGACACTTTTTATAAGAAAACCAGTTATTGGAGATTCGTTTCCTGTGTAATTCCCCATCTCTTGGGTATATGACTTTTGAGGACTTGTCTTAAGCATTTGAGTGAGAGGAGTTTTGGGTTTGTCATGTTCAGGTGGCTGCTGGGTATGTTCAGTGTGGCCATTGGACAACTGCATCTGAAATGCTGTGCACTGTTCTTTCTTTCACACCATTTCCTGCTGTTCTAACGGAGCTGTCCCCCCGCAGGTGCACGTGATTTCACCTGACATCTTAGACCAGTGAAGCCCATGTTTTCTAAACAGCATGTTTATACGGCCATTGTGACTGATTTCTGCTCCTCCTCACTGTATACTCTGTTCCACTTGCTCGCAGCTCTGTTAGAACAGTGGTTTTTGTCGTGGTGACTATTTTATTAAATGAAGTGGGTAAAGTATGGAGCCAGTAGCAGAATCCTTGGCCTATGCCTGAATGAGCTATTTAGTTTGCCTCCTGTATTCCCAAACCAGGGAGGAACTAGCTCTTCCCACTTCCTGAGTGCAAGGGCAGGATTAGAGGACACTGAAGTGAAAAACCTCCGTTTCACCCTTAGTAACTTAATAATGCCAGGACGGGCTTTGAAGCCACTGGCCCTGCTTGTAGATCTTATTTTCCAAGCCTTTCAGTATTTGATTTGCCCTTTTCTGAACTCTACAATTTCCCTCTCTTGTAGCTGGTTCGATGCCCAGAACTGAATGCTGTGCTCCAGCTGTGGCCTCACCGGTGCTGAATAGAGAGGAAGAGCCACCTTCATAGCTTACATGTGATTCCTCTGCTTATACAACCCAATACTGGATTTACTTACTTTGGCAAGATAGCTGCATTGTGCACTGTATTTAATGTTCCGTGTACTGTAACCCTGGGTCTTTCTCTGCATTGCTGCCGTCAACCCCTCAATCCTGCCAATCTAAAACTCCTCCTGCCTTTGTTTATCTGCCCCCTCCCCAGAGACTCCCCATGCATTCATCCACAATGAATGTCATCTTTTTATTCTCTGGTTTCCTTTTACTTTATCTTAAGCTCTGGCGAGACTTTCACTCTGTCCTATAAATTGTTGCTGTCAGCCAGCTTTTCACCCTGCTTCGGTAGTGGAGCACCCCCTCAAGCCTTTTCTCTGGTCCTTGTCCGGTCGTAGTCCTGAAACCAAGCATTTGCCAAGGTGGATTGATAAGCATTCACCTGGAGTTTCTGAATCAGGTACTGGGAACAGCTCTGGTTTGGCCCCCTGAAGTTGTTACCCTGCTTAGTCCTGTCTAGATTTCCTTACCTCCTCACGACCTCTGTCTGGGTGGATAGTATAGTCTTACAGCCCCTCCTCCAGGGAGGAGATGAAAACATGCAGTCAACTTACCAGAGAGATGTCTTGCAGTAAGGAAGTAACTATTGTCTTTTAGTAGAATAGCCTTTAGTAGTTTTAAGTTTTTCTAATTAGAAATTAGATTGAGGTAAATGAAGAAAGTGAAGGAAGATTTTTTTAAATGTTGAAGTAGGCCATGGTTCACCAAGAAAGCCAAATGGTGTATCTTGTTCGATTGGTGGCTGACTCAAAAGGGAGCTGCAGCCTCATTTTCCTGGACTCTAGAGCATCATGATGCCTGATTTAGAGAAGGTTTTTAGTTGGTTTATTTAGGATTGTTGATACAGCCGCCCAGTCTTTTAATTATATGCTTTGATTAAGCATTTAGAGGATAATGTATTGTATAATCTTTTCTGTGGGTGGTAAGAATTGGAAGATCTCCAAATGTCCTTTTTATCTATGTCTAAGCTCTCAAGTGAATCCTAGTGGGTCTTAGGGTAGCAGTTAAGCCGATGTTTGAGTCAGCCCCCCACCCCCCACCGTCTTAGTGGATGTGCTCTGTTTAAACAGACTGTTCTTGAGTTTGGGGCATTTATTAGACCTACAAGGTACTGCTTACATGTATTTGTATTTTGAAGGAGCGAAAGTTGATTTGGAAATTTTTTTAATGTCATTTCAGTACATCAGATTATTATGGTTTTAGACATTACCAGACACCTGGTAGATATCAGCACACTGTAAACATGTGTTACAGGTGTGTGCTGCAACTAAGAGGTGTGTAGAGCTGTCAGAGATGGCTGATTTCAGTATTCACAATTACACAACCAAAGGAAATGATAAGCTCAGTTTGGTGGCTTTGAAGAATGTCGTTTCTCTGGTTCCTCCCCATGTATATTATCACAATTTACTAAATTTATTTTTGATCAAGAGAATAAATGTTTGCAAATATAGGAAGGAATGGGTAGACTTGCTTGTGCCCATGTCACCTCCTCACGAGTGTGTCACCTCCTCACGAGTGTGTCACCTCCTCATGAGTGTGGCACCTTTCTTGAAAGGAAATGTTAGTTTTGTTCCTTGGCTTCTGGAATAACCCAGTGACAAAGCCAGTCAACTGGACTTTGGTGTTCTGAATGCTGTTCTGTAGGCTGCCAGTAAGCAGTGAGAAGGGTCTGCTTCCATCTCCATTTATGGTCTCAGAAGGGGAAAGGGACAGGACTGGGACTCTCTATTTACAGTCCTTAGGAATCGAGTGGAGTGGTTGGGGTGTTCTTGGAGGCAGAAACTAGACATTGTAAGATAAAAATAAATTGTCAGGGGTTGTTTGCAATTCAAATTCCGATCTCTGAGTAGGGCAGAGGGTGCTGGGAAAGGGGAGTATAAGCAGGGTCAAGGGAGATTTGCAGCGCTTCTCTCCGTTGGGAGATTTGACCATGACACACATTTTCCAAGTTTATGTTTCTGGATTGTTCTAGAAAGTTTTGTCCTATGGGGTCACAATTCTCTGTTGCAAAAAGAAAGCTGAGATGATTTTTAAAGGAAAGAAAGCTGAGATGATTTTTAAAGGGTTTATGGGAAGCCTCGGTTCTGTAAGATATTATCATTTGAGGCGGTGGGGAGATGCTGTGAAAGTGAGATGCTTGTTTGGGGGTTCAAGGCTCCAGGGAGGGTGACTATGTCTGAGGGAGATGATCATGTCTCATGCTTTTATTATTCTTTTTGCCTGTTTGGATTTCTGGCCTCATGGAACAGAGTTAAAGAGTCTTTGAGGGAGTGTCTGTAGGTTGTCAGCTGTGGTTTAAAGGTACTGCACTCATGGAGAGCCCTAAAGACTCAGACTTGTTTTCATTTGGTGAGATAGATCATGTATTAGTTTATGGAACGCAACTTCTCCTTTAGGAGAATCTTACAGTCTTGATAATAACTAGTTAGCGATAAACTAGTTTTAACAGTTAAGTTAGAAAATATTTAGGAGCCACCATGGAAAGGAGATTTTATCTCTCAAGAAAATTCTGAGTGGACCCCCATAAAGTAGAAGAGTGATTAGAGGGAGGGAAGGAAGGTAGAGTCAGTAGATCCTGAGTGACTAGATTTTTAAGCTGAGACGACAAAGTCCTTGATCTGTCTTTTGATGGGTCAAGTAAGAGCATAAGGTGTGTACCATTAAATATGGGAAACTGGGCTAGTCTGAAGTATGTAATAGAAAAAAGACCATAAAAAACGAGAGTCGAACAAGGCAGCAATGTTCCCCAGGTTTTGTCCTTGAGCTTGCATGATGGTATTTATTTGCTGTGTGTCAAGTGACAGAAAGAGTGAGGTAACTCCCTCACCTCCTAAGAAAGACTGTTGGCCTTGTTTGTTGGTTTGTTTAGCTGGCAGTTTCAGTTGGTAGACTAGTAAAATGTAGGAATTAATGTACTACTTCTTGGTCATTGTGTTTGAGACTGGAGACTTAGGACATTATTGATTTGATTTCTGCTTAAATTGTAGAAGTTTTTACCATGACAGAGTGAGTTAGTGAGGACCACAGACTCTGTAGAGACCTGTTTTGTCAGCTACGTTGTCTAGGCAACTGTTTTCCCCTGTACTCCTTAACCAAGGGTAAGGAAGGTGTTCTTCACTTGGGGAATTCTTCTTTCTGTCTTCTTTCCCTCACGTCTTCCAAATTCTGGGCACCACAGCAGCTCTCTCCTGTGGCAGGTGTGCATCCTATTGGCTGGCTGGTATTTCTTTTTTTTTCTCCCCCTTACCCTTTTTTAATGGGGGAGGGGGCATAAAATATGTGTATGGGTACATGCAATAATGTTGTAATGTTTCTTGTTGTTTTAATTGATAATTACAAAATAATTGTTTGAATTATAACATGTTTGAGTAAATGCTAAATTAGTATTTTTCTAATATAATAATGAATTTGAAATCTAGCATTCCTGTAACAATGTGTCTTTGTTTGTCTGTCTGTGTCTGTCTGATAGTAATTAATATCTGTGGTCCGTATCTGGAGGAGGAAGTACAGCTTTAAAGGAATAACAAAAGACTTTGTGTCTTAGACCCTTCGCAGGTGTTACAGTCGGGTGAAAGAACATGGTGTTGGGAAAAGAAAGAGCAGTTACACATTTGAACAGTTGGAACAGGTGTTTGGTCAGGGAGGATGGGATGCTCAGCCCTGCCAGCCTGTACTTATTAACAGTAGTGGCTTGTACCAGGAGCTGGAGTCAGATGGCAGCACTATGGAGGACTATTCACAGGAGGACTGGGGAAACCACAGTCAGGATCTCCATGGCTACCCAACAGATCAGGAATTGGGTAAGAAAACCAATACATGTACTGTGTGTGTGTGTGTGTGTGTGTGTGTGTGTGTGTGTGTGTGTGTGTATACCTGGTATCTGATAGCTTCTAGTGTTGTCAGCGCAAGGCATATTGCTAAACTATTTGAGCCAATGTGGGCATCCTTGGCTTAGCATCAAACTGCCAAGTAGTGCTTGGTATTGGTTACTTGGTGATTTGGGTACCACTAAACTCCTTGAAGATAGGAGAATTCCTAATCTGAGCCATACAAGGAGGTTCACTGACAGAATCTTCTGCAACTCAAAATACCCTGTTCTTTGTAGCTTTAAGATTTCTGCCTAGAGCACTCACTCTTGGTCCAGCTCCTTTAAATCTACATTTGAGTGGCCGCATTGAGAGGATACATGTAGATTTTGTTTGCTTGTATCTCTTTATGTCAAGCATTCCAGTTTCGACTCTTACTTGGGAAGTGCTGGTCAGGTTTTAGCTGTAGCCCGTGTACATCAGCAACAAGTTGTGTGATGAGTAAGTTAGGAGTAAATAGCCTTCCCCTTGTGTTGTGCTCAGATGACTTCTGAGAAAGTGCAGGCGGGATTGGCTGTGTACATTTGTTTACCCTCCTTAAGGAAAAAATTACAGAAATCTTGCCCAGTGACAGAGAAATAAAGAAAAAAGGGCAGACTGTTAGCTTATTTTCTATTAATACTATTATAACTTCTCCTAAATATGGGAAGGGAAAAAGAAAGAGGCTCTCCAATTGTTAAGATTATCAGCCATATGTAGAAAATGAAGATTGGAAGAATAAGAATAGATGCTAAATGATCTTGCCATTCCATCTCACAAGAAAAATAAGGCCTAGACCGCAGTGTCTCATAACCCTGTTTGCTGTGAAGAGTTAAATCACCCAGACCTTGAGAAAAAAATAACATGCAGAATATGCTGATCCTCGTATTTGGGAGAGTAATTACTTACACTGTAAAACCTACGTAGAAAAGCCTAAATAGAGCAGAATCATTTTCATTCTTGTTCTTTTAAAATCATGTTTGCAGTGAAATTAAGCTTTAAGCTCCTCGCCTGAAATCCACTGGTGACCTTGAAGAATTTTATACTTGGGGAGTCTGGTTTCTGATCTTGCATATAAATGTTTGCATCTCATTATATAAAGTTATATTTTTAAGTCTGGTAGAGGACAGTAAATAGAGCTATTTATCCACATAAATGTGTGCCACCACTTACAAAAATATGTTTCAAAATTCTTTGTTTTTCAGATGAAATGCCAGTTTCAAAGAGAACATTAAAAATAAAACAAGAGTCTTCTGAAGAAGCACAGTAAGTAGATGCTTCGTTTTTTGTACCAATGTGTCTGAAGTTTAGTGACCTGGGAGGATCATGGACACCTAGGCATGCTGTAGAAACTCCAGCCTTACCACCATGGAAGCATGTCTGCTCATTCTTCATTCTACCACTGGGGACCTGAAATGCCGAATTTTATGTACAGGAAGAAGAAAAAAAATGTTCCATGAAAATATGTGTTTCCCTGTATGGACGTGCTTACTAAGAGATAAGATGAGCCACAAGGACTTGAGTTTAAATGGCACTGGGTGGAACAGTAGAAGGCCAAAGGGGCATTTAAATTCTTTATAATATTGCAGTTTGAGAATCAGAAATTAAGTTCTTAGGTGACCTACTTATGCGTGTAGAAAACAGGAAGGACTGAGAAGGTCCAGGATGGAGCCTCTCACTGGCCCAGCTGTCTTCTTACCTCTGAGAGTTTAATACTATCTGTTACATTCACAGTTCTTTTTAATGGCTTTCAGTGAGTTTTTTACCGAAGCCATTACAAAGAAAAACTAAAGTTTGGAGCTAAGTGAAGAGCACTGCTCATTTATCTTCTGGTAACCGTGAACTCAAAGTACCCATGCCTTGTGTGTTGCATTCCACATGTTTGATCTTGACGTTTGAGAGACAGGAAGAGACAAGCTGCCACTTGTCACTAGCCTTAAACCCTGGCATTTTTTTGGCATTGGATCTTTAGAAACCAAGAAGTAGGCAGAATCATGGGTGAAGTAAGCCAGAATCATGGGTGAAGGATAAACTTAGGGCACTCTTAGGTCCCAGGAAGCAGCTGAAAACACAGTGTTAGCTTTTTGCATTTTGCAAAGATAGGCCAGGGAGATAAGAGGACACACAGAATGTCTCTGTGAGGCCTCTCCAGACTGTTCAGAGCTCTCTAGAAGATACACGATTTTAAAAGGAAAGTCTGAAGGACCAGGGCTCTCTTTTGAAGATGCTGTTAGCAGAGAGCTGGAGAGAAAGCTCAGTGATTGAGTGCTTGGTGCTCTTGTAGAGGCCTCGAGCTGAGGTGTCAGCATTACTGTCCAGAGGCTCACAGCTGCCTCTAACTGCTAGGCCTCCGCCAGCACTTGTGTACACTCGCCGCCTCCCCACTCACTGCCTCTCCCCGCCTCAGATAGTAATGAAAAAAAATACCCTTAGCAAATCCCCTTTTCTTGATTGTGGGTGTGGAATAAGCACTTTTGTAGATTAAACTTATAATTGATTTTTGAAAATGTAGTAACTTGATTGCCAAGTTAATATCTATTTTTTTTATTTTATTTTTTATTTTTTTTTTTGGTTTTTCGAGACAGGGTTTCTCTGAGTAGCTTTGCACCTTTCCTGGGACTCACTTGGTAGCCCAGGCTGGCCTCGAACTCAGAGATCCGCCTGGCTCTGCCTCCCGATGCTGGGATTAAAGGCGTGCGCCACCACCGCCCGGCTCCAAGTTAATATCTAATAAGTCAGTCTTACCATATCAAAGTTTGGCCATACTTAAACATTTTAAAAAATATTTATTTTATTTTATGTACACATTTGCCTGTGTGAAGGTGTCAGATCTTCTAGAACTGGAGTTACAGACAGTTGTGAGCTGCCATGTGAGTGCTGGGAATTGAACCCAGGTCCTCTGGAAGAGCAGCAGCTAGTGTTCTTAACTTCTGAGCTATCTCTCCAGACCCCCCACCTCTCCTTTTTTTTTTTTTTTTTTTTTTTTTTTTGGTTTTTCGAGACAGGGTTTCTCTGTGTAGCTTTGCGCCTCTCCTGGAACTCACTTGGTAGCCCAGACTGGCCTCGAACTCACAGAGATCCGCCTGGCTCTGCCTCCCGAGTGCTGGGATTAAAGGCGTGCGCCACCACCGCCCGGCCCCTCTCCTTTTTTTTTGAGACAGGGTTTCTATATAGCCCTGACTATTCTGGAACTCACCATGTGACCAGGCTGGCCTTGAACTCAAAGAGATCCACCTGTCTCAGTCTCCCAAGTTCTGGGATTAAAGGTGTGCACCACTATTCCCATCGAGAAATAACTTATAATTGCATTTATGTAAATTTCATGAAGTGTCAGTCAGTACATTAGTTAAGCAGCCTGTGGAACAAGAATTTCATAGCATGTTCTATCTTGATCTGCTAATTATGCAAGTCATAACTGAAACATTTCTGTAATTTCACCTTTAATGTTCTAACTTAAATTTGAGAGTAATGATGAGTTCATACTAATTCATTTAATTGGAAATGGCATATTGCTCTTGTAATAGGTCCTTAGTCATAACCACTGAATTCTTTTCCTCCAGCACCTGTATAAAAATTACTGGACTATCATAAATCCCATGTTAGAAATTAAGTTGTTATTTGAGGCAGCACTGGGGCTCTGTTAAAGTAGCCTTTGCTTTTTGGCACTTTGGTCTGAAGGCTATTATTAGGGTTATCATAGCCACTTTAAAAAATCCGTGATCTGCTGGGCAGTAGTAGCATACGCCTTTAATCCCAGCACTCAAGAGGCAGAGGTGGGCCAGGTAGATCTCTGAGTTCGAGGTCTACAGAGTGAGTTCCAGGACACCCAGAGCTACACAGAGAAACCCTGATCTCAAAAATCAAAAACCAAACCAAACCAAAAAACCTTCATGATCCTGAGTGAGGTCAGTGGCAGCACTTGATCAAGCCTGAAAGCCTGACTCCAGTCCCCAGAATGCATGGAAAAGCAGGAGAGGAACTACTACCAAGTTTTCTCCTGACCTCCTCACAAGTGACATGCACATACCTACACACAGTAATCATTTCTCTTAAAGCTCATGGTTCCTGGGCTTCACCGGGAAGCTTAAGTAGTTATATTTATTAAATTTGATAGAGTGAGACCTGCTTGGAAAGCAGTTTGTTTTTAATTCTAGGGACTTGATAGACTATTTCTGACATTTAATGCAGTGATCTTCCAGTGTGAAAGGAAGCCTTTCTGAGGTGTGGGTGTTTAAATGTAACATTTTACTCTTGTTGGCTGTGTTTTAAGTTATAGTGGTTCCCATAGTGAATGGTCTAGGCATTGAGCATTTCTATCATAGAAAATTCTGTTAGATGTTGCTGCTGATTAATTAATTTGACTGTTAATTTCTCTTTCTAGGAAACGAGACACCATGCAGAATATTGTACAGATTTTGGAGTCAGTGCAGTTGAAATGGGAACTGTTTCAGAGCTGGACAGACTTTTCAAGACTCCATCTTTCCAATAAACTGGCCATTTTTGGAATTGGCTATAACACCCGCTGGAAAGAGGATATCCGTTACCATTATGCCGAGATCAGCTCACAGGTGCCCCTTGGCAAGCGTCTTCGGGAGTACTTCAACTCTGAGAAGCCTGAGGGACGGATAATTATGACCCGAGTGCAAAAAATGAACTGGAAGAACGTGTACTACAAATTTTTAGAGATCACCATTAGTGAAGCTAGATGCCTAGAGCTGCACATGGAAATTGACTGGATACCCATTGCCCACTCCAAGCCAACTGGTGGGAATGTTGTTCAGTATTTACTGCCAGGAGGGATTCCTAAAAGTCCAGGTCTTTATGCCATTGGCTATGAAGAATGTATTGAGAGGCCTCTCTCACCAGATGTGGAGCACCAGGCCCTGGACCCAGGAAAGGAGGGCCGGGTTGGCCTGGAAACCCTCTCTGCACAAGCCTCATTACAGGTGGAAATAGAACCCACCCGGATCGTCTACTGCTACCTCGGTATTGCTGAGGTCAGGACTCTGCAGCAGTGCTTGTTTTTACATTTCCAAGCAAATACCAAAACCTTCAGTAAAGATTGGGTTGGTATTAATGGGTTTTTGTCTCAGAACTGTATTGTGGATCCTGGAATTTCCCCCAAATCCATCTATATCAAATTTGTAGAAGTTGAGAGGGATTTTCTTTCCGCAGGCTCATTAGTTGAGTGCCTGGAAAAAGCCATCGGATATCCCTTAAAATTTAACAACTGAGTGTCATCCTTCATAAGGATTTGGGCGTGTGCATTCTTCTCCCTTCTTCCCATTACCCAGACTACCCCACATCCAGATGCTGCCATCAGACTCTTCATGGGAACTCTTTCCACGATGAGACCAATGCAACCTCTAAGGAATCATAGTAGACTCTGGGCAGAAAAAGCAGACCTCACCTGAAATGCTCATTTTGAGTAAGCAGGTCTTGCATGGTGGGTCAGTTCTTTTTTAAAAAAAGAAAACATCAATTTTTAAATGGATTTTAGAGCCCTGATATAAACAAATATAGGTACATTCCATATTGGACAAAACTTATACTTTGAGTTTCATATGAAATTGAAAATTGTATTTTTTTCACAATGTTTCATTTTTACACATCTCTATAAGTATTATTTACGACCTTGAATAAATAAGCAATAGATAATGGCAAGTAAATCTTGAGCCACAGCAAATAAGGCTGTTTTCCAATATTACCTTTAGCTACTATTGTATATAATTTAGAGTTTCATTTTTTTCACCAACCAAGTGTTTTGCTATTTCCAATCAGTGTTGCCTGCAAAGACTTTTGTTTATGTGATGTATAACTTTTATGGTTGTGTTATCATTTAAATTAAAAAAAAAAAAAAAGAATTCCTGACCTTTTGGGTGTGCTAGTTGAGATTTTTGGTACCAGAGTGTGGCTGCATTGATTGTGGGGAGTATGTCCAGTTTTGTTTGAAGAGTGAACAAACCCAGGCTGGGATGTGGTCCAGAGCTAGTGCTCATCTCGAATGCACAAGACCCTGGGTTCAGACCCCAGTCCTGGAAAGAAAAGAATGGCCAGACCAATCAAAAAAATGCTCTGTTTTCTCTCTATATTAACAGTGACCATAGTCATTTCTTGTCAGAGTTCCAGAGATTATTAGGAACAACACTGTGTCTCTTACTAGAAAATGACTGCAGTGATATTCCTTCGGACTTAGGAGTATAAATTTACAGGGCACTTTGACTCCTCGTCTTTTTCACTTAGTAATTGGCTAAGTCTCCTAAGTACTGAAAGGACAGACTTGCTGCCATCTTGCTGTGTCTAAAAAAAGAAATGAGGAGCCAGAAAAAACACAATCCTAATGCCTTTGAAAAGTGATCCATGAGAGAAGGAATTGGAAGGTGTTAGTCCATTAGGCAACGACGCATGCACAGACCTTTTCCAAGACTTCAGTGGGTCAGGCAGCACTTCACCTGGAGGCTAGCACACTTGGCGGAAAAGGGTCTCTAGTAGTCAAGGGTCACTTGTTCTCCTGGCAGGAACTTGCTAGTTTGGTATTGGTCTTTAATGGTTCCTCACCATCTCTCAGGCATTCTGCTTTAAATGGGCAGCAAATCCAGATGAGAACTCTTAAGTTCCTGATTTTCTTTATTTTTTTTCTTTATTAAGAAATTTTTTATTCATTTTACATACAAACCACAGATCCCCCTCTCATCCCTCCTCCCACTCCCCCCTCAGCCTTCTCCCCCAACCCACCCTTCGATCCCCTCCTCCAAAAAGGGAAGACCTCCCATGGGGTGTCAGCAAAGCCTGGTACATTCAGTTGAGGCAAGTCCAAGCCCTCCCCCACCCCTACATCTAGGCTGAGCAAAGCATCCCACCATAGGTAATGGGTTCCAAAAAGCCAGCTCATGCACCAGGGATAGATCCTGATTCCACTGCCAGGGGCCCCTCAAACAGACCAAGCTACACAACTGTCTTCGCTTATGCAGAGGGCCTAATGCAGTCCCCTGCAGGCTCCACAGCTGTTGGTCTAGAGTTCATGAGTTCCCACAAGCTTGATTCAGTTGTCTCTGTAGATTTCCCCATCATGATCTTGATGCCCCTTGCTCATAGAAACCCTCTTCCCTCTCATCGACTGGACTCCTGGAGCTCTGCCTGGTGCTTGACTGTGGATCTCTGCATCTGCTTCCATCAGTTACTGGATGAAGGCTCTATGATGACAGTATTCACCAATCTGATTACTAGGGTAGGCCAGTTCAGGCACTTATTGCTAGTAGTCTAAGCTGGGGTCATCCTTGTGTATTCCTGGGAACTTCCCTAGCACCAGGTTTCTCCTTAACCCCATGATGTCTCCCTAAGTCTCTGATATTCTATACAGTTGAAAATAAAATCACAAGCCAGGAGGTGGTGGTGCACACCTTTAGTCCCAGCACCCAGGAGGCAGAGGCAGGAGGATCTCTGTGTTGCAGGATAGCCTGGTCCACAGAGTGAGTTCCAGGACAGTCAGGGCTAAACAGAGAAACCTTGTCTCAAAAAACCAGAAGTAAAATAAAATTGCATATTTAAATTATTTCCCACAACTCACAAAATGAAGTCAAATCAGTGACTTTCCCCCCTTTTTATTTTGACACCATTTGGCTAATTGATACTTACATGTTTTTCTAGTGATCTAGGGCACTTTTAACCACTGGGATGGTTTATTTGAGTCTGGGCTTATGGAGTTACCTTTTTTTCTGATGTAAGCTGCTAAAAATAGGTGCCACTCAGGGAGAGTATAAATATCCTGAGACTGTCAATGCAGAGTCTGCTTAGTGTGCAGCGTGTGTGTCTGGAGGCCTTGGGAGATCTTTGTGAGTTTAAGCTTTGGTCCTAAGGCTAAGGTGTATGGATGATCGGACAGCAGTAATCTCATGATGGCCAGTGCCAAGCCAGAGGAACAAGCATCACCAGGAATACTACATGACCCCTCCAATACAGCCACTGACCAATCCGGAACTAACCTTAATACTGAATTTATCTATCTCTATCCCCTTCCTTGGCTAGTAGTTACTAGATGGGGCAGAATGTTTTAGGAACATGTGGTGAGGACTACTTGTATATTACTGGGAATGTGGCATTGTTGACTCCTGTGGTCAAGATGGAGGGCAAAGATGAGATCAAGCCTGAGTTTCCATTTGGCTTGAAATGGTTCGAAGGTCAGGGAAGTGGACAAAATTGAGCATTGGGAATTGGAGGCTTGTCAGGACAGTGACTTACTGATAGGAGTATCCTATCTGTTTGACCAGAGCAGTTTAGAAAAGATAACAAACAGGTAGACTGGAGAGATGGCTCAGTGGTTAAGAGCACTGACTGCCCTTCCAGAGGACCTGGGTTCAATTCCCAGCACCCACATGGCAGCTCACAGCTGTCTGTAACTCCAGTTCCAGGGGACCTGACACCCATATCAAAACACCAGTGTACGTAAAATAAAAATAAATTCTAGGGGGCAAAAAGATAACAGGTTGTCTGGTAACTGAACATTGCTAAAAAAACAAGTGGACTGAGGCCTTAAGTATGCTTTTGATCTGATCCAGGAGGGATGGAGGCCCTTTTTCAAAGACTTTTTCAAAGACTTTCACAATTCTTTTTTTAAATTTAATTATTTTTTACATGTATGAGTGTTTTGCTTGCATCTATGTATATGTACCACATGTGTGCTTGGAGGTCAGAAGAGAGCATCAGATCCCCTAATATTGGAGTTCTGGATGGTTGTAAACCATGTGGATGCTGGGAATCAAACCTTTGTCCTCTGCCCAGTCTGTCTCTCCAGCCCAGTTTATAAATTCTTCGGAAGATCTGAGAAGTGTGGTTGAGAGAAACCTATGAAGTTGTGAACTAGGCTTGCACACATCAAATGTTTATGTAAGCAGTTCGTAGCACAGATGTGTTTTGACATGGACTTGTACACAACAGAGAGCTGTCTACCCTAAAAAGTGAGCCAGAGCTTATGGGGTGGAATAGAGCTTCCTTGCTCACATCTTGACTTCATCAGGGTCAGAAGTGGTTGGAATAGGAGGCAGTGAGGAAAATTCCTTTTGGTAAAAGCCTGAGGAGACTGCATCTGTGTCACATGGATACAGTCACTCCCGTTAGACCCTTGTGATGTCCCTTACCCGAGGTAAACTATTTGGCAAGCAGCTTTTGGACTGGGGTGGGCACACCTGACTCATCAGATGCGTCAGTGTCACTGGGCTAGACCCAAGGCTTTGTACTCCCTTTTCCTGGGAGGAGTTATTTAGAGTGACAACCCTGGTCCAGAAACAAATGAGGACTTTTTGCAAGAGGAACTTTATGGGCCTGGAGGGATGGCTCAGAGGCTAAGAGCACTTGCTGCTCTTCCAGAGCACAGGGGTTTGATTCTGAACACTCAAATGGCAGCTTAAAACAGACAACAACTCCAGTTCCAGGGGGGTTCAACACCCTCTTCTGGCCTCTACAGGCACTGGACACATGGTGTGCAGCCAAAATGCTCAAACATGTTTTTTTAAAAAATGCTTCTAGTATTCTGAAATCTAGAAAAATTTGAATTTGATAGACGAGGAAAACCAAGCCAGCCCACCCCTAGCACCACCTCTTTGATAGTCCCAAAGTTTGAAGGTCTCTGCACTTGGCTGATCTGCCAAGAGGTAGATTCCAGAGATGTCGGGAGCAGTCTAGTGTTTGTGCAGGCATTTCGTAGAGCCACTGCATGACGGGTATTTGAAGAGGAGCCAAGTTGGCTGCACTGGAAAAAGTTACCGGGGCTCTACAGATAGGAAAAGCCATTGCACAGTGCTGGAGCGGGTGGAGTGTGTGCTGCTGAGGAGGCCCGGCTCGGGTTCCTCAGAAGAGGCCACGCCAGGCATCCATGGTTATGCCTCTGCTCCCCGTAACTTTGTTCAGTGGTGAAGCTCTGCCCAAATGATTTGGAGCATCTTTTCCAGTTATTTCTTGGCTGTTGGGCAAAGGCGAGAACCGGTGCGTCAGAGGTGCAGCTTCGGCCGTCAGAGGGCGCAGAGGTGCCTCCACCGAATGGCGTGGGGAGGGGCGTGGGGTTGAAATTAAATTCATAGAGGAAAGATCTAGTCCTGGGAATTAAAGGATCAGAGTCAGCCTAAGCTGTTCACTGCAAGGATGAGCAGGAGCGAAGACACCAGCGGCTGTACAGAAGGGAAGGAAATTTATTCACGTCCCCCCACCCCACCGCAGCTGCCCCTCCCCCCAGTCAGCGTTAAGCCTATGAGCAGCTCATGGATGAGGAGCTGGGGACAGTCGCCTCAGTTTCCCGCTCAGTTTCCTTGTACCAGACTTCCCTCTTTGCAGCAATGAGGCGAAGGGCCGGGACTCCCTCGGGGCTCAGTTTCTGGAGCCCTGGAGAACCCGCCCCTCTCTCGCCTTAGGAGAAGGAAGGCCTGTGGTTTGTCGGACTATCTTGGACTTCCTCGCCCCGAAGCATCAAGCCTCAGCCGGGCCGAGAGGGAGCTGGGCGAAAGTTCGAATCCCCACCTCGGCAGCTGCACCTGGCCCACCTGACCTCGCACTCCATACACCGCAAGGCTCCCTTCTTCCTCCGAGAAGGCCGCCCTGCTTAGGCTGAGGACGCGGCACCCCAGGCTTGGAGCCGGCCGTTCTGGCGGCAGCCGCTGGGCTTTTAGTGTCGGGTGAGGGTGGCTCCTGGATTTAGGTTAGTCCCGCCTGCCTCCTTTGTCACCTCAACGCCCGACACCTGCGCGGAAGGTGTGTGTGCGACTCCCAGGGCTGGTTCATGGGGTACCACGACCTCGCCAACCCCAGTCTGAAGAGTAAACTAGGGTAGAGGCAGCGGGATCCGGCTCTGGAGCCCGGGGACAGCTCTCCTCCCCCGCGGCGGGTCACTAGCGCGCCGCGCCCACCCGCCCGTCAGGACGGTGACCTCTCCACCCCTTTGAATGCCCCGCCCCCTGTCCAGTTGGTCCCCACCCCACCTCTCCATCCGCACACTCGCAGACTTGGGCTGGAGCCACCCTTGCCAGTAGCCCGGGTCCTGTGCACACTGGAGTTGCCGCCGCCGCTCACCCCAGCACCTGTAGGCCGTGTGTGCCCCCAACTGTCCTGAGTCCTCTGGGCCAAGGAGGGCCATGATTATTCCGGCTGGAACCCCCGAGACCAGCTTGCTGCGGGTTTTGTTCCTGGGACTGAGTACCCTCGGTGAGTCAAACAAACCTCGGGCCTGGAGGGTCTTTGATAGATCCGATCCTAGGGAGGACTTTTGGGGGAGTGGTTGTGACGGGACTTACGCTTGACATTCTTGTCTTTCTTCATCACCCTCCACTTCAGGGTGTCCATGGTTGGTGCTGTGTCTTCTCCCTTCTATGGCCAGAACAGCTCCCAACTTTGGTGTCGGGTGTGGTGTTGGGGAGGGGGATAAGGGCCTCCCTCTCCAGGCAGCACCCTTGGGATGAGTTATGGGAGTTATTCCCGTCTCCTCGCCACCCCCACTCATCACAGCTGGATAAGCTGAGGCACTAGATGAAACAGTGACTAAAGAGCTTAAAGACTTAATTCCAGCCTCCCCCCCCCAAAAAAACACACACACACACACACATTCAAGCTGATACGAAAGATCCCTGGGGGAATATCTGGTCCGCAGCCTTGACGCAAGTACTTCAAGTCAGTATTTCACGTCACAGCATTTCCCCCACCAAGTTCCCTTCTTTCCCTCCCGCTTCCTGCCCTGGAAATCAAAGGAGATGCCCCCAAAGCCTGACCATGAGGTCATTTGGACACAGGAAATTTGGAAAGAGGTCAAATTCTGAGACTAGTCACGCAGCACATTCTCAGGTCTACCATCATCCTTATCTTTTCTCAGATCCGAAGGAACAAGGAAAACAGGGAGGGGGTGCTGAAGTGTCCAAGAGGAAGGAAATCTCCTGAAGCAAGTGCTGGGGAGAGCTTCCTAGGACATCTAGCGGGAGTTGACAGTGACCCAGTGCTTTATCTGGAGAGAGAAGACCCAGTAGAAACGAAGTCCATTATTAGCTATCCCCTGGGCCGTTTTGCTATCTGGGTTTGGCATCTTCTGCTTTAACTCATTTCTCAGGCTACAGGATGCCAGAGCGAGCAAGCCCTAAAGAAGGTAGAGTAAAATTCAGTCGCACTGATGGGGATCTCTTTGTTCCTGCCCACAGTCTCTTTCAGTCTGTGTGCTAGTAGTGTGGAGGGCATGGAATCTTAAGGTCCCCAGATAGGAGTCTCATGAGCTTCTGCCCTCCCGAGCCAGTCCAAAGCTTCGAGAGCTTCCTGCTCCTTCAGCTTCTCCACTCTACTTTTGCATCTTCAACCTCGGCTTCTGTTTCTTTTCTGCATTCTTCCTCAACTTGGCCCTTCTGTGTTGGAAGGGGCAGAGTCAGTCCCGAAGCAAGGGAGGAAAAACCTCCATTGGCTGCCTGGGCATCACAGGCATCCTCTGCAGGTCACCTGTGGCCCCCTCCTTTTTTTTTTTTTTTTTTTTTTTTTTCCTTTCAGCCTTCCGTCTTAGTTTGTCATATCAAAGACCCAGAGCCTAAGTTGTTGCTGTTGGCATGAAAGTTGCCCTTTTTGGCCTCTGGAGGGTTAAATTTGTGCTCGCTGCTCCTGAGGAAGGCACAAGGCAACCAGGCCCTCCTGCTCCAAGTGCTCTTTCGTGGCTCAGAGCTGCCCCTGGAGCGTGAGAAGCCCACAAGGGGAGTTTCTCAGAGAAAGAGGGAAACTAAAAATAGTAGCCCTGGGGAGCAGGGCCCATTCGCTCTGCTTAGGCCCTTCGCCTGTTCTCTCTGGTCTCTCAGATCGGGCCAAATGATGCTATTCTTGAGCTGCTCCAGAGGTCTTCATTGGAACCCAGCTACTTCCCATTTTTCTCCTGAGGCACCCAGTTACCAAAAGGTCTGGCCAAGTAGGGGTCTTCGGCTCCAAGTGAGGCCAGAGCAGAAGGCTGGGAAGTCTTAGGACCTCTTGCATGCCTAGTTTCTCACTGAAGGAGTAAGTGTCTATCGCTGCATCTCACTCCCGCCCCCCACCCCAGCCCCTCGCTTTGCAAACTACAAATGCAAAACCTGGAGGAGGTGGATAGGGCACCCTTGGCGAGCGATGCTCGAGTCCATCTGGGTGCAGACAATTCCCCGTCTTAACTAGCCTTACGGCGAATGTTTCTGAGAAGGCTGGCACCGGCGGCCGCCGCCTGGAGTCTCCAGGTGCGCCTGTAGGCGGAGTCCCCGGGGGAAGTGGAGCTTCTCAAGGCGGGGTTGTTTTCGCCTGCCGAGCCTCCGGTCTAGCGGCCCCGGCTTCATTGTCTTCTGCCTTATCGGCAGGCGCAAGTTTCCTGCTCCTTCCACAGGGACCCGCCAGGAAATGTCAGGGGTGGGGGATACCACGAAGGACAAGGAATAGGGGTGGGGTCCCGAGTTAAGACGAGGCCGGGAAGCGATGGGGGAGGCGCGCATCCTGGCTCGGTGGGCTCTGGGTCTCCCCAGCCTTCCGCCCGGCTCTGCCAACACAGACCGTCTGCAGCCTCTAAGCTCTTGCTGCCTGCTCACCTTCCCCAAGGTGGCAGCTAGTCCTGAGTGCCGAGTGCTGTGATTCGGGAAGAGCGGGGCCCAGGACCAGGGCCGTCAGAGTCCCCAGGCTCGGTTCTATACTTACCCAAAGTTATTTCCCAAAAGGCTTTAGCACTCCACGCCCGCTCCATTCTCCAAAGGGCGAAAAGCAAGTGCTCTGGGCACTGTAGTGCCAACAGGTTCCCCTAACTGAAGTTGACACCCCTGTCCACCCAAATGCAGGACGCAGGATGCACGTCCGGCAAGCTTTGTACTTGTGAGAAGATTGTCCTCACCTTCCTCCCTGAAACTCCCTGCAACCCAGCGGCACTCGCTTTGATAGCCAGGAACCCAAAAGTGTTCTTGAGGATTTGGCTGGGTCTCAGTCATGCGGTTTCTTAGGGGAGCAGACTCAATGGGACAGAGCGGAGGCCTGGGATTCCCCTAGTCTCCGGCAGGCACGGGAGCTGGGAAGCACAGTACTCGCACTCGCAATCCGGTGTTCAGAAGCAGCTGTGCGTTTAATGAGTAACTGATCAGCCTACCCCCTCGATCTGTCATCCATCCGGGTGTAAGAAGTCCGGGTGACCAGGACCGGCACCCCCATTCTCCCTTGCCTTTCACCAAAGAGATTGGAAGAGCAAGAGTATAACGTGGGGTGTGGATCAAAAGCAGGTCTACCTTCCCTTCTGAAATCGCCCTTCCTCGACGTGGAATCTGCTCAGATTCTGTACCTCTGAATTAGAATGAATACATAAAATTGTGGTACCACCCCCACTCTAGACGCAAGACTTCAGAGTGAGGAAGAGCAGGGCCTTTGGAAAGAGGTCTCCTGTCGCTCCTCTAGGCTTTGTCCTTCCTCGAGGGACATTTCCCCCCCCCCATGCCCCCTCAAGGGACAGACGTTGTCCAGGGCCCTTGGGCTGACCAGGGAACTAGCCCTGGGAGGTCCCATCTCCTTGCTCTGTTTTCAGCTTCCTTCTCACTGGCTCAGCTGGAGCTGCACGTGCCCACCGGCCTCAGCAAATTGGAGGCGGTAGAGGGAGAGGAAGTGGTGTTGCCCGCCTGGTACACGATGACACGGGAGGAGTCTTCATCCCACCCCTGGGAGGTGCCCATCCTGATTTGGTTCTTGGAACAAGAAGGGAAGGAACTAAACCAGGTGAGGAGAAAATCTTAGCCAATGACAACCTAGGGAATGTAGGGCTGGGCTCGCAGAGAACGAGGGTGCAGGACAACGGCATAGGAAAGAGCAAGAGGCCTCAAAGGATCCGGGTTGGCGCCTATTGTAAAATCCAGTGCATAAAACTTGGTCAAAGCACAGGCGGGTGGGGGTGGGGTCGGGTGGGGTGGGTGTAGGGCTGAGGATTGAGGAAACACGGGGTGAGTAAAACAATCTTTTTCTTTTTGGAGACCTGGTCTCACCCTATACACCCATCTTGCCTCAAAACTCACAGAGGCCCGCCTGCCTCCGCCTCCTGAACGCTGAGATTAAAGGCAGGGGTACCATGGCCTGCATCATCCATTTTAAAAGCTCTACATGTGCTGTGTGTGTAGGCATTTTCTGAGCTTGAGATGTTGTCAAGTACAGGCCACATCTCTTCCTGGATCCCCTTGCCTTCCAGCCCCCTCTCCCCCCCCCCCCCCCATCATCATCATGCTTGTGTATGTATGGGCTTGTATGTGCCATGATGCTAGAGAGAACAACTTTCAGGAATCAGCATTTTCCTTCTGTCTTTATATGCGTTCCAGGGATTGAACTCAGATCATCAGGCTTGGTGGCAAATGCTTTTATCCAGTGAGGACTGGCACTCAGTGGTTCTTTTATCCGGAAGCTGATGTCAGATTCTTGTTACTTGCATGGATTTCTTGCACAGTCTTGGAAAATGTATTCAAGGAAGTTGTTTGATCTTTTCTTTTGTTGGTTTGTTTGTTTTCTGGGTTTTTTTTTTTGGTTTGTTTTTTTGGTTGTTTTTTTTTTTTTTTGGCACAGGGTCTCTCTATAAAGCTCTGGCTGTCCCGGAGCTTACTACGTAGACCAGGCAGGGCTTGAACTCCTAGAGATCTCCCTGCTTCTGCCTTCCTGTGTGCTGGGATTAAAGGTGTGTGCCACCATGCCTGGTCTTGTTTTGTTTGAGACAGAGTCTCATAGTTTATTCTGGCCTTAAACTTATGATTCTCTTGCCTCCACCTCCCAAGGGCTGGAATTATGCAATGCTGGGTATGGACCTAGGGATTCCTGTACACACGAGTGAGGCAGGCACTTTACCAATTTACCTTTTCGTTCAATCTCCCATTGACACTTTTTTTGCACATATGCATGTTTGTATGTGTGTGTGTGTGTGTGTGCATGTGTTGATGTTTGTACATGTGTGTACATGTTCATGTGCACATGCATGTAAAAAAGCCAGAAGTCAAGCTTGGGTGTTATTCTTCAGGCACTATCTATCTCGTTTTTGAGAGACGGCCTCACACTAGGCTTGGAGTGCACCCAGCGGGCTAGTCTGAGAGACCGCTTGTTTGCGGCTTTCCAGATTTGGGATTATAAGTGCTCTCTCTACCTTGCTAGGGTTTTTTGGTTGTTTTGATTTTTTAAAGATCTTCATGCTTGCAGGACAAGCACATTCAGAGACTGAGTTATCTCTCCCAGCCATACCCTGCCCCCCTCAACACATACACAGACTTCATCTGTGTAGCCCTGGCTGTCCTAGAATTCCCTATGTAGACCAGACTGGCCTCAAACTCAGAGATCCACCTGCCTCTGTCTCTTGAGTGCTGGGATTAAAGGCAAATGTCATCACCACCCGGCCAGCCATACCTTTTTACATTAAGAAATAAAAATCTTTTCTCTTTTTTAAAAGATGTGCCCTTTAACGGTAGAACGTTTCCATCTGACAATCTATAATCTAAGTTTCTTCCATATACGCTTCCTCTTGCATTTCCCCTTCTTCTCCCACTACATATTCACCTAAAAAGCCACCATAAAAGCTGAGAGATGGTCCACATGGGAAAGGAGAGCGGCCAGGCATTGTGAGCGGGTAGGTAGGAAGATGGGTAAATGAAAAGTGGTTCAGGTCAGGAGGCTGGGTTCAAGTGAGGAGGCTGAGAAGAAGTCCATTTTGGAGGAGGGGGACAGGCTGAGCCTGTGTGTGAACAGATGCATCACAGACTAGTAACAGACATCCTGCCTCCACTAGGTGCTGTCCTATATCAATGGAATTTTGTCAAAAAATTCTCGAGTATCCCTTGTCCACTCTATCTCCACACGGAACGTGTCTCTGAGGCTGGAGGCCGTCCAGGAGGAAGACTCTGGAACCTACCGCTGCTCTGTCAATGTACAGGACAGTGAAAGCACAGGCCTGGGCCACAGCTCCAAAAGCCTAGAACTCAAAGTGCTGGGTGAGTAGAAAGGGTACATCTCCGGATCCCTTCCCACCCCGGCCCAGGGAGGTCAGGCGGGTCTCCCTCTCCAGTGGCCAAGTAGAAGACCTGGGGATGAAATGTGGAATGACAAAAGAGAGTGAGGGAGGGAAACCTGCGTCCTTAGGGTCTGGATTTTAACCCATCTTTTCTTCTCCAGTCCCTCCAGCTCTTCCATCCTGTAGTTTCCAGGGTGTACCCTACGTGGGGACCAATGTGACCCTGAACTGCAAGTCCCCAAGGAGTAAGCCTACTGCGCAATACCAATGGGAGAAGCTGGCCCCATCCCCCCAGGTCTTCTTTGGACCAGCCTTAGGTAAGGGAATTTCTGGATGTCACTGACATGGTGACTGAAGATGGGGAAGGATGAGAGGCATTTCACAGACTGGGGTGACAAGGGTAGGCATGACAGAACGGGACAGGAGGAAGATGTCCTATTAGGTGTAGGTGCTGCATGCTCGATGCTTCCACGAACTTCCAAGTATACTGTTACTGCGGTCTGGAGCTAAACTGCCTGCTTCACATTCCAGTCCTGCCACTCAATAACTGTGACTGTGCTCCCATCCCCCATTTCTAAACTGAGATTTATACATACCAACTATGGAAAATATCTCTGTGTGTGTGTGTGTGTGTGTGTGTGTGTGTGTGTGTGTTGCTGGCAATTGAACTCAGGACCTTGTACATGAAAGGCAGGCACTCTAACACTGAGTCACACCCCAAACATCTTTGGTTTTTGAGACAGTCTTACTAAATAGCTAAGGCTGGCCTCAAACTAATCCCTCTGCGTTAGCCTGCTGAGTGCTAGGATTACACCACTATGTTCAGCAACTGGAATATTTTAAATATAAGCATTAGATAACTTTAGAAGATCATTATTAATTGCTGGGACTTTTCAATAGTTTTTTTTTTTATTGTATAAAATAACAGGAGGGTTTTTTTTTTTTTTTTTGAGACAAGGTTTCTCTGTGTAGCCCTGGCTGTCCCGGAACTCACTATGTAGGCGAGGCTGACCTTAAACTCACAGAAATCTGCCTGCCTCTGCCTCCAAAGTACTGAGATTAAAGGTGGGCATCACTACGCCCAACTCAATGGATATCATTTTCAAAGCTATATATTGAAGTATTATTGTAAATATTTTAAACAAGTTATTATTATTATTAGTGTGTGTGTGAATGATGGGTGTGTGAGCATGTGTGCCATGGTACGTGCTTGAGTACAATTCGTGGAGTTGGTTCTCTCTTTCCACTTTTGTGTGGGTTTCAAGGATTGAACTTAGGTGGCCAGGCTTGTGTGGCAAGTGTCTTTACTCACTGAACCACCTCACTGGCCCCAAAATATTGCTTTAAAGTGTCAGTGGGGGAATAGGAAGAAATACACAAGTATAGCCAAGTGTTAACAGCTGCTGGGTAGAGGTGTGGGTATAAACATTTTTACTTCTCCCCTTTTCTACTTTGCACTGGACCTATTTATTTTATTTTATTGGTGCTATGGATGGAACCCAGGGTCTTTCACACACTGAACATTGATTTTACTACTGAACTAAACCCCTGGGACCCACTGGACTTTCTTCCTCAAATATAAGTTGACCACACATGTGGAGGCCGGCTCTCAACCTTGGGTGTCATTCTCAGGAGCTATCTGCTCTAGTGTGTGAGACAGCGTCTCTCACTGGGATCTACGGTTACGGAGTTGGCTAGCACGGCTGGCCACCACTTTAGCTGAACTATTTCCTCAGCCCCTCATTTGAGCATTTTAAGAATTATATAAGAATTTAAAAAGGGCGCAGTGAATAGGTTTTTTGTGACTATTTGATAAGCTAGTACACGTAAAGAACCCAGGCTGGGCTTCAGCACATAGTCAACAGCCAAAGGATCAGAATGACGAATCTTTACAATCTTCTCAACCCCACCAGGTAAGGAGCATTATCCCCACTTCACAGATGAAGAAGTGGGGACCCACAAGGGTCACATGAGGTGTTTGAGACCCCAGTTTTTTTAGTTGCTAGTCAAATGTTCTTTCTGTCCCCTCCTCTCTTCACATCGCCTTTTGGAAACACGTATCAAAATGATGCTTTGATTTTCTGTGTGGCACTTCCTTCTAGACATCAGTTGGAACTACTGAGGAATAGAAATGGAGCAGGCATTGAGCTAGCCTCTCTGCAGAGTCCAGAGTGCTGCCACAATGCTTCCTGCTCATAAGGCCACGGATAAGCAGTGACTTTCAGAGCCTAGAAGAGGGCATTCCGGAAGTAGGGCATGGTATATGTTTTCTTAACGGAAAAGCTGGCTCCTGGACTGATAGCTAAATTGCCTCCATAGATGCTGTCCGTGGATCCTTAAAGCTCACCAACCTTTCCACTTCCATGTCTGGAGTCTATGTCTGCAAGGCTCAAAACAGAGTGGGTTTTAGCCAGTGCAACGTGACCCTGGAAGTGATGACAGGTCAGTGAGGGGTAAGTGTGGGGAAGAAGTGTGATCAGTGGATGGCTTTACAGGAGAGGAAGACACCTGTCTGATGAGGCTTCTCATTGAATCATGCCTGGGAATTGGACATGGTCAAAGGCAGGGACAAATGTTTGGTCACTGTCCGGCCATTTTCTACTTGACCGTCCTCTACCCCCATCCTAACAGAGAAAAGAGGGGAATGTAATGAGCAGTGGGACTTGAGGGGATAAGGGGAATGTAATGGTGATAGTTGAGTAGTGGGACTTGAGGGGATAAGGGGAATGTAATGGTGATAGTTGAGTAGTGGGACTTGAGGGGATAAGGGGAATGTAATGGTGATAGTTGAGTAGTGGGACTTGAGGGGATAAGGAACAGATAAGTGTCCCCTCCTCTGACACTAAGGATTTTTCAGGATCTAAGGCTGCTGTGGTCACTGGAGCAGTTGTGGGCACTCTGCTTGGGTTGGTGCTGCTGGCTGGACTGGTCTTGTTATACCAACGCCGCAGCAAGACCCTGGAGGAGCTGGCCAATGATATCAAGTAGGTGTCCCTGATCTTTGAGGAGGTGGGAACTCTGGTGACTTTTCTCTGGAGTCTGGGAATTCAGGCCTCTCCCATTTTTAATGGGAAGGTGGATGGTAGCCGTCACATTCCTAAGAGAAGATTTAAAGGAAGAGAGCAAGGGATTTGATGTGTGTGGAGGGGCAGTAAGACAAACATGTAGGACTTCTTCTCCCTTTTCTCCTTTTGGCTTCTGATGTGTGACTTATTTGATGACCAGGGAAGATGCCGTTGCTCCCCGGACTTTGCCTTGGACCAAAGGCTCAGACACAATCTCCAAAAATGGGACGCTTTCCTCCGTCACCTCAGCACGGGCTCTCCGGCCACCCAAGGCTGCTCCTCCAAGACCTGGCACATTTACTCCCACACCCAGTGTCTCTAGCCAAGCCCTGTCCTCACCAAGACTGCCCAGGACAGACGGGCCCCCACCTCAGGCTGTATCTCTGAGCCCAGGTGGGGTTTCTTCTTCTGCTCTGAGCCGTATGGGCGCTGTGCCTGTGATGGTGCCCGCTCAGAGTCAGGCTGGGTCTCTTGTGTGATGGCCCGGGCACTCATTGACTAAATCTGGTATCTCACCTTCCTGTAAAGGTCACCTGTGGTACAGAGGAATGAATCTTGGGGGGATAGCCACACTCTAGACCTCCAGTCCTCTGCCCCTACCTCCTTTTATTGTTGGAAAACTGGGCCTCAGTAGACTGAAGTCTGGGTCGAAGGAGAAACAAAGGAAGTGGACCTGAGAAGCGGGGGAGGGGGGGCTCACGGGGGAGGGGGCTCAAGGGGGGGTGGGGTTCCACGGGGGAGGGGGGCTCCACTTCTTCCCTGCTTCTCTCTGTGAAGCCAGATGAATGCTGCTGAGATTGGCTACCCTCCAAGGGCTTTGGAGGAGACTGCCAGCTGGTGAAGCCCCTGGCTCTGTGATCTGTACAAACACACTATCTAATGCTGTCCTTTGCTGCCCACTCTAACTCCCTGTATTAATATAACCTGTCCTGCTGGCTTGGCTGGGTTTTGTTGGAGCAGGGGATAAGGAAGACATTTTTTTTTTAAAAAAAAAAACTAACTTGAAATTGGTGTTTTTGTTTTTATTTTGCAAATTTCAATAAAGATACTTTGCATTTTCATGAACTAGTAATCCAATCACTTTCGCTAACCTGGGCTTCACAGAAACTGAGTTGCGGGAGGCTATGAAGTCGATCCTACCTACTCAGGTTGTGCATCCAGGAGACTTAATACAACTGCAGGGAATACTGCCTTATAGTTCTTCTAGAGTCTGTAGAGGGGCCATTCACGGTCACATGGAAAGGGAAGGTGCCAAGAACCCGAGGCTGCAGAGCCCCTCACCTCATCTGAACAAGGAGGTGACAGTGAACTGGGGCACTTGCTGCTGGTGCCCCGGGCTTGGGTCTCCATACCACACACTCCATTGCTTTTCCTCTCCAGGGTGAGGTTCCCCTGTGTTCTCTTTCCCATGCCTCTGCATCCTTAACAAACACACCTTCCTACTCTCCGGGTAGCAGTCCCCTTTGACAGTTGAGGAAAGACTTAGGGTGTGGTACAGGTTGATATCCTAATACCACCCTGTTCTTTCCTACCCAGAGTGGGGTCTTCGGACCTCAGTTTCTCCGTCCCCAGTGGTTCTCCAATGGAGAAGTGGGTGTAGTTTCCCTGGAGAGACTCTTATTTACCCCAGCAAGTGGTGGGAAGAGAATGTCTGAAGAGTCCAGGCCAGCTTACCTCCCAGGGACGGATGCTCACTGTCTTTGGCCCCCAAGGTGACAGCATCGGCCAGTGGGTATCAGAATGCCTTCTCTCCTGACAAAGACACTTCCTTGTGGAGTTCCAGTTCTGAATCCTTGTCTTTAGGCTGCCCTCCCCAAGCTCAGGTCCTTCTCCAGGGCTTGAAAGCTTCAGAAATTAGGGGGAAATTAGGGAGAAAGAAGTATCCCATAATCAGGCCTGGAGGAGGGAGGAGCATTTCCCTTACCTGAGGGTGCCCGCCTCTGCCCTTGTTTGCTCTGAGATAGGCAGTCTCTCTCCTGCCCAGCACAGGGCGGCTGCCCTTCGGGGTTTTCCTAGACTCTCACGTCCTCCAGACTTACAGACGACAGACAGCACCAGGAGACAGTCGTGGTCATGGCTTGGGCTTTCCTCTGCGGACCCTTGCTGGGCTTCCTGTGCCTGAGCGGTGAGGAGAGGCTGGGAGGGCCGAACCCAGGCGACAGCGAGCTGGGGGCAGGGCTGGGCTTCCCTGCCTGGCTCAGTCCATTAGGCCAGGAGCCATTGTGCCAGGCTGGGAAGGGGGCACTGAAGGCGGGAAGGAAGGAGCAGAGAGGCAAGCTGCCAGCTAATGAGTTCAGCCTCTCTCACCATCTAAGGATTTACCACTGCAGGGCCTTTTCTTGTTTCCTTTTCTGTCAATACATCCTCATACCTGGCCCAGTCTTGAACCTTTTACCCACAAAAACCGGGCTGGGTCGTGGGCTCCTCCCTCCCGGAAACCTCAAGTTTCAGGAGAGAAGGGGTTGAATTGAAGGAGCGGGTTGCGCCGTGGCAAGGGAAGCCCCAGCCTCTAACAACCGCGGCAGTGTAGGATAGACCCTCCAGATCAGTGGGATTGGGGTCCTCAGTCCCAGGGCTAGCCGTGGAGGTGACTGTGCCCGCTGAGCCACTGAGCATGCCGATGGGCAAGACAGCCGAGCTGAGCTGCAGTTACAGGACATCGGTGGGAGACAGCTTCGCCTTGGAGTGGAGTTTTGTTCAGCCTGGGAAGCCCATCTCCACATCTCTTCCCGTGAGTTGAGAGCAGCTGTGCCTGCTGGGATTGGCCGGGGACAGAGGACTCACCCAGGATGAAGGGTGGGCAGGGCGTTTGCCTCTTGGGGCTTCAGCTAGTTTGGCCCTACATTCTCCCTTCCTTTCCCACAGCTCCTGTGTCCAACTCCCCTAAGCAAATGTAACTCGATTCAGTTATTACGTTCACCGAACCCGAGGTGTTGTGATTGATAGTATAGTGCTATCTATCTATTTATCTATATATATATTATATAGAATATATATTATATAGAATATAAAATAGTATATATTCTGCTGCTAGGCAGAAAAGGGGACATGAACGCCTTGGGCCTCTTCTCAGATTCTGTACTTCACCAATGACCACCTGTATCCCACCGGCTCCAAAGCAGATCGGGCCAGCCTTCTCCACAACCCCCCCACAGGAGGAGTGGCTACCCTGAAACTGACTGACCTCCGCCCCTCAGACACGGGAACCTACCTCTGCAACGTTAACAACCCACCAGACTTCTACACCAATGGGTTGGGGGTAATCAACCTTACTGTGCTGGGTAAGGCATGCTGGGGATGCACTAGCCTCTCCCACCCTGTAAGTGTGCACTGACCCTGCCCAAACCCCTCCTGACTGACTTGCAGTCCAGGTACACAGATACATTTGGGAGCCTCAAGAAAAAATTACCCCCTCCCAAGACTTTTAATCTAGATGGTCATATTAAAACTCTACCCCACAGTCTCTCCCTTAGGGCCTAGTATCAATGTGTCACACAGAGACACAGAGACAGAGACAGACAGAGAAAGGGAGAGACAGAAAGAGAGAAAGAGAGAGAGAGAGAGAGAGAGAGAGAGAGAGAGAGAGAGAGAGAGAGAGAGAGAGAAACAGAATGAACCATAGAGGTGGCAGGGGGCTGAGTCATATTCCACTGGCTCCACCACTCATCCAGGAACTTCCTATTGGTAACTCAGATTTGCATTCTGCCCCTCCCAATGTCAGTGACAAAGAAGGGAAGGGCCGAGAGGAACAAAGCCTCTATAATTGGGTGCCACATTGTGTTCAGAGCTTCCACCTCTCCATAAATCAGAGCCTGTTCCAAGCGGAGCAATAAGAAATTTTGAGGGCTGGAGAGATGGCTCAGAGGTTAAGAGCACCGACTGCTCTTCCAGAGGTCCTGAGTTCAATTCCCAGCACCCACATGGTGGCTGACAACCATCTGTAATGAGATCTGGCGCCCTCTTCCGTATACATAATAAATAAATAAATCTTTAAAAAAAAAAGAGATTTTGAAAGCAGACAGGGGTGTTTATGAAAAAGAGAAGGCCTAAGATCTGCTGTGTGTCCTGTATATTCAAATATCTGAAGGGCCTTCAGGTGGAGGAGAAATTGTAATTTCTCTTTATGGGCCCCGGTGGCGAGAACTGAAACCAGTGTGTATTGTATTAACAACGTGTTTGGGCTCAGCATGAGGAAGCCTTTTCTAAGACTCAGAATTCCCAGTCGTGGAAATCACTTCCGAGGCATGGACCGTGATTTGGCAGAGATGTTCAAGCAGGAAATGCTGGACTCAACAGGTCTGGGGTTAGAGGATCACTGAGGTTCTTCTGCGGTTTTTGCAGTGCCCCCCAGTCACCCCTTATGCAGCCACAGTGGGCAAACCTCTGTGGGAGGTTCTGCTGCCCTGAGATGCAGCTCCTCTGAGGGAGCGCCCAAGCCAGTGTACAACTGGGTACGCCTTGGATCTTTTCCTACACCTCCTCCTGGTAGCATGGTTCAAGGTAAGAGCGCAGACCATTGGGAGGACGGGACCGGAGACCTAAGATCCGATCTCTAAAGCCCATGCCCCACATCAGTTCTTGACTAAGGCCCTTCCCCTCCTCCTTCCTTCTATTGATGCCTTCCTGTCTGTCTTCCTGCTGGTGCTTGGGAAATAATTCTAAATGTCCTGATAGCCCGGAAGAGAGTAGAGGGCAGGGGACAGTCTTACAAGTTCCTACTTGTCCACTCATTGGAGACTTCTTAAGGCTCACAAATTGCTTCCAAACCTCCTAGAGAGGAAAGCAGAGAGCAGCATGGACTGGCTCAAACATTTGCTAGATCTCTTTGGAGCCTTAGCTCCCTTTTGTTGGTTCCAGATGGCCTGTTTTGTTCTGTAGCTACCATCCCAGTAAAGCCTAGCAAGTCTCCTCCCCTAGATCATTTCCTGATGTGTTCTTGGCCTTGTGAGGCAGTAGAGTTCAGAAAAGCCGTTGGGTCAGCTTAGAGCTCTTCTGGAGGATGGATGTTTAGTTATTAAGACTTTTGCTGCCATCCAGGATCTGAGCTTATCCAGTAAGCACCCCACCTTTTGTTGTCACCTTCCTGTACACGTCAGCCGTTCCTCCTCCCCTGAGAAGGCAGCTGTGTGGGGTGGCGAGGGAGCAGAAGTTGCGAGGCAACTTTGGAGTTCCTCCCTGGGTCTTCTCAAATTACTCCCTTTTTGAGCCAGGATTCCCACCAATCAAGTGGGGTTAGACCTCTCTTGGTAGATTGTTTTAAGGACTAAACGCATTGAGCTTTCGTGGTAGCAGTATGGATGGGCTCCCTGTGAGCTGAGTGCGTGGTAGCACACTTCCTTCTCACTCTCTAGATGAAGTGTCCGGCCAGCTCATTCTCACCAACCTCTCCCTGACCTCCTCTGGCACCTATCGCTGTGTGGCCAGCAACCAGATGGGCAGTGCCTCCTGCGAGCTGAACCTCTCAGTGACTGGTAGGGGGATGCTGGACAGAGGCCTGCACCAAAGGCTTGCCTTGGGGGAGACTACAAGACGTTGTCTGAGGGTGGGCCAAAAACTTCTGCAACTCTGCGGGTCCTGTCTCCCTAGACTCATCGGAAGGCCGAGTAGCCGGAACTCTGATCGGGGTGCTCCTGGGTGTGCTGCTGCTGTCAGTGGCTGCATTCTGCCTAATCAGATTCCAGAAAGAGAGG